ATTTATTTTTACTCTTAAGGTCATTTGAGGATCTGTTCCTCAGGGGCCACATGGGCTTGGGAGGAGCCCCTGGCTCCTTTCTTTTACCAGTTCTGCCTACGTGAAGATAAGTCAAAGGTCCTACTTGACTATGGCTCGCTTCACTTGGAAGCATGGAGGAAATGATTTCCTCTGTGTTGACCCTCCTCTTTGTAGACTGGACACTGGTTCAAGTCCATCTGGTGGGGTCTCCTCAGTCTCCTTGATCAAAAGGACAGGTGACCCACCACAATTACAGGACATTTTGAGAGATGCTCTATATAGTCCCCTGGAACTAGTCAACCTAGGAGGGCAAGGAGCAAAAACTGTCCTTTATGTCCCTCTGACCAAATTAGTATAGGCCTCAAAGTATGTCTCTTAAACATCCAAGAAGGTTAGCTCCACCAGTCTGGTACTTTTAATTACTGTGTGCCATGTAGATAAATCTTGGGCAAAGACCAGTTGTTCTCAGATAAACCTTACCTAGACATATATTTCTTGATCTACTATGTATAATTTGTCAGTAGAATGTTGTACTAATATGTTTCCCTCTGGCTTTTAAAACTAGCTAGGCATTATTTATCTCTCGCATTGTCTAAACCCTCCATCATGGTTTCCCCAATTAAGATGCCCCCATTTTTTAACTTTTAGTATCATGAATAACTATAACCACGAAATTGAAATGTAATCTGAGTTTTGTAAATAAACTCTCTGTTACTTGAAAAGTGCAGCACCTGAAACAGTGCAGATGACTGCTGGGAACAGAGCCACATACCAGAATGCGCTTAGTTACTTAGTTAACATTGAACCCAGAGTGGCCTCTTCAATATTCTACTAAGAGACAGCAAGAGAATTAGGAAATATTGCTTTTTTATCATTCTTAATACATTCATGTTGTATGATTTAGGAAGATGTGTAATTCATTTGAAATTTATAATAATTGTTCCAGAGTTTTAACATTTTAATATCAATAATAGTCCCCCTGGTTCCAGTCTTCTCTTTGCCATAACACAGTTTGGTATCCTTGGCAACCATTCATTCTCTGTGAGTCTGTTTCCTATTCTCTGAAATGAAGCCTCTGAAAAACATCTTGTTAGAATTACCTTTTTAATGTTATTTCTGAGACAGTGTCTCCCTGTAGCCACAGCAGGCTTGGAACCCACTCTGTACACCAGGCTGGCCTCAATCTCACAGTGCTGCATCTGCCTCTGACTCTGCAGTTCTGGTATTAAAGGCATGTGCCACCATGCCTGGCTCAGCATTATATTTTTAAAGTATTCTTTTATTTATTTTTATTTTATGTGTATGAGTGTTTTGCCTGTATATAAGTATGCCTGTATTGCGCAGTGCCTGTGGAGGCCAGAAGAGGGCATCAGATTCCCTGGAACTGGAGTTACAGATGGCTGTTAGCCACCATGTCAGTCCTGGAAACGAAACCTGTGTCCTTGGCAAGAGCAGCCGATGCTCTTGACTGCTGAGCCATCTCTCCAGCCCCAGGCTTATTTCTCAATGTTTTAGCACAAGTATACACTATAAACTGTAGCTGCCTTTATGATTTGCACACTCCTCCTACCTAAGCAAGTCATCAAAATAGTGTGCTATATTGGTAACTTTCTACGATTGCTTTGGAGCTTGATGTGCTGGCCTCTCCCCTGGGAATGGAAAGTAAATGTTGTAAGCCCACCTTACTCAGCTGCTCTGGGCCTGCCAAGATTCCACCCAGTTCATTTTCAATTTATTGAGGTGTTAGTTTCTTAATACAGACTCATCTTTGCCCTATCTGCCCCCTTTCAGCTCACATATAAATAACTGAAAGGAGAAAGGGAGAGGAAAATAAGAAGAGAAATACAGGTTTCGAAAATACATATACTGAGCTGGGCATAGTGATACATGCCTTTGATCCCAGAACTTTGGAGGCAGAGGCAGGTGAATCTCTGTGAGATTGAAGCCAGCCTGGTCTATATAGCAGGTTCCAGGCCAGTTAGAGTACAGGGAGACCCTGACTCAAAAAGGCCAAAAAAAAAAAAAAAAAAAAAGTACACCATGACCACTCATTATTTGCAGTAGTGTGTTCTCAGGTTGACACAGCAACAGATTGGTGAATGCTGAACCATGTATCCCAGGGACAGTCTTCCAAACCTCTAGTCACATTTCTGTCAGTCAAGCATTAACCATGCTTTGCAAATGTTTCTGTCTTAAAATACTTTAATATAGTTAATTTACCAATACTACTATAACTACAAAACTATGTCTCATACCTGAATAAGCTTATCTAATATATGTGTACACACACACACACACACACACACACACATATTTTCTTCTTCATAAGATATACCTAACCTTTGTCTCTCAGGTGCACTAATCAGCATTTCACCCTTTATGTTTAGAGGGCATTTCAAACAGAAAATTGCTGACAAAAGGCACAAAAATGTGGAAGACATGGCACTGAGTAGATGATGAGAGCTGAAACAATAAGGGAAGGGCGGTGCCTGAAGTCAGCATGCGGGGACTGACATCTTTTGCCCTCTGTCTGATGTCCACCCTGAAAGTGCTATGAGTAGAGATTTGGAGGTATGATGAGAAACTTTTAGCTAGTACCTGAACTCACAAGTTTGAACTTGTGCATGATGAGAGCTGACTACATACATCTAAGCAAACCTCAGATAACTCCTATATGTGCTGTTCTCTTTCAGAACAAAATAGTCATTTCTATTTCTGACTTGATATAGCTACATAATAAGTGGTATATGTTGGATATTAGGATAAAAATGGTATCACTTACCCCAGTACTTTCTGTTCAGTCTTAATGCCCATTTTTAGTGTCAAAGCAACAACTGAGCAATGTGAAGCTTGAGAATACCCTTGGATCTCTGTTATCTCGAGCAGCTCAGTTTGTTAAGGATGCTTTTAGTTTTTAAACACCTTGCCACTGGGAAGTAGTTGCTGGATACATATTTTTCTCCTACTCACTTTTAAAATTACTAACTCCTTTTTGCTTGCTTTAATAGTTATTTTGTTTGTTTGCTTATTTTATAATGTCTTGTGTCTTTTGTATGCTGCATGAAATTTTCATAAGTGAAGTACATACATGTGTCAGTGAAAAGTTTCCCATAACTATTTTAAGGACAGGAATGAACATGGATACTACTCATAGCAAAATTAGAAAGTTGAATCTCCAGTTTAGAGGCTATAATATACTAGTCCTTTCTGTACATTTAGAACAGGATGTACTTAGGAAAAGTAGCTTTATAACTGTGAAATCATTCTTCTTTCTAACAGTATGCATTGGTCCCATAGGCTTTGTAGCTGAGCAGTTTCTAAACAATACAGCCACTCAACTGACATACCATGGACTGTGTGAACTGACTTCAACGGTTCAGGAAGGAGAACTCTGTGTGTTCTTTCGGAATAATCACTTTAGCACCATGACAAAATACAAGGTATGAAAAGAAACAGTTATTTTATTGTTACTCTAAATCAAAGGAGCTTGACTTAGAGGTGTATTTTGATCTGCTTAAGAGTAAGATTTAACATAATATTCCTTAACCATCAAGTTGTGAAGTTAATTATTAAATACTTCTTGAGGATAGGATGGATTAGCAATCGAAATGTTAATCAGTTTTTGTTTTAAAATTGTCTCAACTTTTTCACAGATAATTGTATTATAAAACATTTACTATTTTTCTGTTTTTGAGAGAGGGGCTTACTGTAGCCTATGCTGGCTTTCAACTCAAGAGCCTCCTGCCTCAGTTTTTGGAGCACTGGGATTATAAATGTATGCTATCATGCCTGGCTAGTACTATTTGTTTTCTAAGAGGAAACAAAATACCTCAAGCTAGAACTAGAGTGACTATTAATAAAGATGTTTATATTCAAGCATTAAAGGATATTAGAAGTTAGAATGAAGATTTGCCCTAAGCTGGGTGTTTAGCTGGGTGTTTAGATGCTTGCACATAATCCCAGCTACTGAGGAGGCCGAGACAGGAGGATTACAAGTACAAGGCCAGCCTGTGCTACACGGCAAGACCTGGTCTTAACAGAGCCCCAACTCAAAAAATTGTCTTTATGACATAGTTTGCTGTTATTAAAGTTATCAGTGCTTTTTTGGCTACACACACACACACACACACACACACACACTTCCTTACTCAGCCACTCTTTTTATTCATCTCTATTATCTCTTAGATCCATCCCTTTTGATTTTTCAGGATGCACTTAGTTCAGGAATTTATCATCATATACCTAGACTCCTATGGCAGAATACTGTACTTACCATGTTAGCAACATAGTCCCAGAGTTCTGTGGCTCCTAGTACAGGATAAAAGTGCAAGGTGTGTTCAGCTGCTCCCCCTGCTAGCTCTGCTAGCCAGCAAGATGATGTCCCCAAGCTCCGTCCTGTACACAGTTGGATGCTTCTCGTTTCCTGCCATTCTTCTTCCTTCTTACTCCTGTTTGGAAGGTCTTTTCAACTCCTGTCTGCCTACCCCCAATTTGCCCATCCTAAGGAGGCATTTCAAATACTTCTGTAAAGCTACCCCTTTTCTCCTTATAGCAGTGATTTTCAACCCAGATTGTATCCTAGACCGCCCTAGGTAGTCTGTTAAAAGATACCAGTGCCAGGGCTAGAGAAATGACTCAACAGTTAAGAGCACTGGCTGCTCTTCAGAGGACCTGGGTTTGATTCCCAGGACCTACATGGTGGCTACAAACCATCCTTAACCTCCAGTTCCAGGGGAATCCGAAGCCCTCATCTGAGCTCCACGGCATTGCATGACACAGGTGCACTCACATACATGCAGGCAATACACTCATACATGTAAAATAAAAATAATAATTTTTTTTTTTTTAAAAAGGCTGCAAGTAAAGCACCCACCCATTGAAAACAGTGGAGACTGGAAAAAATGACCTTAGATAAATGAGATACTAGATTTTTTTTTTTTTGTCTTTTTGAGATGGTCTCCCTGCAGCCCCAGCTGGCCTGGAACTCACTATGGAGACCAGGCTGGCCTCGAACCCACAGAGCTCCACCTGCCTCTGCCTCCCGAGTGCTGGGACTAAAGGCATGCACCACCACGCCTGGCCAAATAAAATATTTTAAAAAATGAATTGAGCCAGGCATGGTGGCACACGCCTGTAGTCCCAGCACTTGGGAGGCGGAGGCAGGCGGATCTCTGGGAGTTCGGGGCCAGCCTGGTCTCCATAGGTGGTTCCAGGAAAGGTGGGGCTACAGGGAGACCCTGCTTCAAAAAAACAAAAAAAAAAAAAAAAAAGAATTCTCTTCATCCTTTGTTCTATGTTCTGTGAGCCTTAGGAGTAGAAGTTGTATCGTAGATGTGTCACTTAGGCTTGGGCAGTTCACAGACAATCTCTGTGTATGACCAGTTGTGGAACTCTGTAATAATCTCTGTCTGTTGAAAAAGAAGTTGCTTTGATGAGTGGTGACTGGGATACTTGTCTGTCAATTTAAGGATCCATATTTTGCATATAGTAATAAATAATGTAATAAATGTATATCTAGGGATACAGCCTTGGGGTTTTCTCTAAAATCTATGACCTCTCCAACTATGTGTATTTGGCCAGATTTACAGTATCATACATGAGTTTCCTCCCATTGAGTGGGCTTTAAGTCCAATTAGGTAGCTGATGATTACCCCCAAGATAAAAGTGCCACTACTGCACCAGTGTCGGTTTCTGTGCCGACCATTCATGTGCTTTTTAGGCCTTGAAGCCAGGGTTGGACCATCGATTGATGTTACCAGCTTGCATAGTGCTCTCCAAAGCTATGAGAGCTAGCCTTCAGGGGAGGTGGCTTCCAGGTCAGTTCCAGCTCCATTGCTCCAAATCCTGTGTCTGAAGTATGTCCTGTTTTCAGCAATAGGGTCTTACCTTCAAGTTCTGGGAGGCCATCAAAGACTGTGGCAGTAGTCTCTGTAATTTGGGGAGTCTTTTGGACTACCCTGGCAAACAATTGAAGTTTTCTCCTGTCTGGCACTGTTTCTTGTTATGTAGCCTTCAGCTAAATAATATGTTATTTTCTAAGTGAAGGCAGCTTACTGAAGTCATAAATCACATCCTCATGGTTCCTTCTTTTGAATCAGTGAATTACACAGTGTGGTGTAAAATTGACTTGTTTGCTTGTGAAAGAATGCCCTAAAGCCACAGCTCTTCTGTCACTATTTTAGTTTTGGCAAGAGTCCATTTATATTGTGTCAGCAAGAGGTGGGTCCAGGCCATCCACTCACTTGAGAAGTCAAAGCCACAGGACACCGAAGGGTGGTCTTGCTTTCTTTGGCCACTTCAAGTGAGGTCTAGAGTTCATTATTAACAAAATACAAGACTACATCTACAAATAAGGCAGTCATGGTATCTGCCATATGCCACTTCCTGTTTGTATTGAAATGCTTCTGTCAGAGACACACAGCACAAGCTCTGAGAGCTTTTATGAGAATTTTACCAGGAAAGACTTCCTTGAGAAGTCACATTTATATTAAAACCTAAGGGAGCTGAAAAGATAGCTCAGTGGTTAAGGGCACTCACTAGCTGCCCTTGCAGAGGACTTGGGTTTGATTCCCAGCACCCACATGGTGGCTAACAATCTAATAACTCTAGTTCCAGGGAAATTTGATGCCCTTTTCTGACCACCACAGGCATCCCATAGCACAGGTGCACTTATATAAGGGCAGGCAATATACTCATACACAAAAGATAAAAATAATAAAGTAGATTAAAACTTAAGGACTTGGGGTATATATAGCTCAGTGGTAGAGCACTTTCCTAACATGCACAAGACCCTAGGTTCCCCTGCACTGCAAAAAAGAAAAAAGCAAAACCCTAAAATCTAAAAATGAATTGTCTGGGAGTTTAATCAGTTGACAACAACCTAAGAACAACAAAAAAGTGACTAAGCAGATGCAGCTGTGTACAAAGGTCCTGAGGAAGGCGTTCAGAGACAGTCCACCAGGCTGAAGCTCGGCAAATGAGGGGAATGAGGCAAAGTTAAATGGACACTGAGCATTTACACTTTAGCGACTTACAAGAAGAAATGGACCGTTTTCATAGTGGCAGGAGATTATTTTTGTTCTCTTTTTAGCCCAAGAATGAACAACAGTGAGACAATTCTGTGGGAAAAACAGTATCTCTGGCTGTCATTGGTACCTGTTACACACCCTCCCAAGAACTGAGCTCCCTCCCTTCCCTCTCCCCATTTCCCTCCTATATATCCCCCACCCCCGTACCCCCCACACAGTCTTTCTCTGTGTTTACACTCTATCACTGACATATCCCTTCTGATGCTCCCTTTTCTATTTAAAACCTTGTCTCTGACCAGGAAGTTGTTTACTGATCAGCTAGGTACTTCCACTCTTGTGTGGTTGGAGATGGAGTGCCTGTGTCTAGACCAAGCATGCCCTTCTAGGACATCATGAGAGCTCAGAAAATTCGTAGGCTCTGCCTTTTCTCTGCTTTTAAGATTTCTCAAAAAATTTTGCTCTGTGGCTAAATAATGTACTGCTGTCAAAAAAGAGTGGGTTTAGTTAGGAGATTACTCCAGGAGACAAAGAATGAGATTATAGTGAGGCGGACAAGGTGTGGTAATGGCACACCAAGTGTAAGGAGTCCAAAGGCATTCAGGAGATTATCATCCAGATGTGGTGACTGGATTTGAAAACAAGATTGATTCCCAGGTTCTCTGTGGATGGTGATGTTCCTCATTGAAATAGAACATGGAAGAGAAGAAAGTCATCATGACATAAGCCTGGGATGAAAGAGTGGCTTCTGAGGTACCCCCAAGGTGGAGATACTGGGAAAATGGCTCAATAATGGAATAATTGGGAGTTCACAAGAAAAATAAGAAATCAGATGAGAAGGCCTAAGACAGAGATTTGAGGAATGCTAACATTTAAAGGATCAAGTAGAGGAGGAGCAAAGGAGGCTGAGAAGAGAGTCAGAGAAAATCTAGAGCATGGCCTTCCGGAAGCTAAGGAAAGAATGTTTCCAGAAGCACTAGAGCTCAGTCAAGGGCTGTTGAGAAGAGGGTGAAATAAGAAACGTGGGGGAGAGGGGGAGCCTTAGCAGCAGAAGAATTTGAATTGGTTAAGAATGGAATGTCAGAAAATAGAAGGCAGTTATGGCAACACCTAGAAATCATTTGCCAGAAAAGAGGATGTTGGGCATAATGTAGGGGTGTGGGTGTGGAACCTAGGAATTTTTGTTTAATTTTGTGAGGCAGTCTCTCTTCTCTCCTCTCCCTTTCCCTCCACTTTTCACATACTCCCTCTCTTCTCCTCTCCTCCCTTCCTTCTTTCTCCAGGGTCTCACTATATAGCTCTGGCTGGCCTGGAACTCACTGTGCAGACCAGACTAGCCTAGAGATCTACCTGCCTCTGTCTCCAAAATTCTGAAATTTAAAAGTGTAAGTCACCATGCTAGGCTTCAGACTATCTCTGTTGCTAGCTAGCCTCAAGATCCTGGGCCCAAATGATGACTCAGGCTCTCAAACCTAGATCATAGGCATATACCTGGCTTTTGGGTTTTTTTTTGGTTGGTTGTTTTGGTGTGTGTATGTGTGTGTGTGTGTGTGTGTGTGTGTGTGTGTCTGTCTGTCTGTCTGTCTGTCTGTCTGTCTGTGAGAGAGACAGAGCAGGCGCATGCATGTCACGGTGCTTATGTGGAGGTAAGAGGACAGCTTTTGAAAGTCAGTTCCCTCTTTCTACCATATGGGTCCAGGGATCGAATTCAGGTTGCCTTTCATCCATTGAACCAGTTCACCGTTCCCTTAGTTTTTATTTATTTTTTATTGGAGAGACTTAATCATGTTTGAACACTGACAAACTCAATAAAGAGAAAGTGAAGATTCAGGAGAGGGATAGTTGATGACAGAGGTGTAAGAAGGTGAAACAGAGATTCCTTTCTGCAGGCACAGAGAATTGACTTGTGATTTTAAAGGGATCTCTCCGTTATACAACAGGAAGATTGGCTTTTGCTTGCTTTTTCACTATAGGGATTCGAAGTGAAAAATAGTATTCAGAATAAATACTAAAACTATGTTAAAAATACATTTGAGGGGCTGGAGAGATGGTTCAGTGGTTAAGAGTACCGACTGTTCTTGCAGAGGACCTGAGTTTGGTTCTTAGCACCCACATCAGGTGGCTTCCAACTACCTATAACTCCAGATGCCTCCAGGGGCACCTGCACTCAGAGACAAACCTCCCCCCAATGCACACACACATAATTTAAAATAAATGTTAAAACAATTATGAGCCAGGCGTGGTGGGGCACACCTTTAATCCCAGCACTTGGGAGGCAGAGGCAGGCTGATATGCCTGAGTTCAAGGCCAGTCTGGTCTACATAGTGAGTTCCAGGCCAGCTGGGGCTACAGGGAGACCCTGTCTCAAAAAGACAAAAAAAAAAAAAAACAACAACAACAACTAATTATGTGCTGGGTGTGGTGGTACAGGTCTTTTATCACAGCACTCAGGAGGCAGAGGCAGTTGGCTATATGTGAGATCAAGGCCAACCTGGTTTACATAGTGAGTTCTAGGAGAGCTGGGGCTACAGGGAGACGCTGTCTCTAAAAAAACAAACCTTTATGTGCCTGGCAGAATCCTAAACAACTCACATTTATTATCTCATTCAGTCTTCTTACTTCCTTATGGGATATAGATTATTCTTACTTTATAATCAGGATTAGACTTAAATACCACAACCTCATAGCAGGTAAGCAACTGCAGTTTGACCTTGAAACCCACGTCTAAGGACATTTATATCAACAGTAATACGTCACTGCCTTGCTGGGTAGATAAGAGGGGGCTCTTCAGCAGGGGACACTGATGCTTCTTAAATAGGAATAAAGATCGTCCTTCAATTTATTATTTTATTATTATTTTAATTTTATGTGTATGAGTGTTGTGCCTGCTATGTATGTAAGTGCACCCTGCCCGAGGCCCAGAAGAGGGTGTTGGATCCCCTGGAACTGGAGTTACAGACAGTTTTTAGTTGCTATGTGGGTGCTGGGAACCGAACCCAGGTCCTCTGCAAGAGCAGTCAGTGCTCTTAACTGTTGAGTCATCTCTCTAGCCCCTCATCCTTCAGTATATAAAAGCCTTAAAAACTTGAAGTTTATAAATTTTGAGCTGGGTATGATGGCTTGTACCTGTAATCCCAGCACTTGGGCAAGAGGATCACCTCAATTTCAAGGCCATCCACAAAAAACGAGTGGTACAGAGAAAGGGAAAGGCTGACTTGGGTGAGAGTAATCATACAGGTTTAGGGTTTTTTGTTGTTGTTTTTCTTTCTTAAGTAAACAAACCCAGCAATGTGGTATCATTTTTTGGTCTGTGTTTCCTGGTTGTTACCTGGTGTCTTTTTCAGGAACTAGTATTTTTCTGTATTGTAAGATGAAATTGCAACCCCCAGAGCTGTTTATAAGTCACACAGTAGTTGGTATGGCAGGAGTTCCTATTCCTTGAACTGTGCTTTGCCGATTACCTGCTATACTCACAGCCAGCTAACCTTGACAAAGAGGTGTCTGCTTGGTGTTTTTATTGTGTTGTACAGATCTAATTAGAATAGTTATTGTACTGGGCCTGGAGAGATGGTTCAGTGGTCAAGAGCACTGGTTGCTCTTGCAGAAGACCCAGGTTCAGTTCCTAGCACCCACTTGGTGTCCAGTTCCAGGGGATCTGACACCCTCTTCTGGCCTCCTTTAGCATTATATGCATGAGTATACATACATGCAGGTAAACACTCATACACATAAAAATAAATGTTTTTAAAAAGAATAATTACTGTGCTCTGAAACATATGGCTTAAATTTTTTCTTACCTTTAATATTAGCTAGGTTTGAAGCATTTAACACTCCTTCTTATTTCTTATTAAGGGCCAACTGTATTTGTTGGTAACAGACCAGGGATTTCTTACTGAAGAAAAAGTTGTCTGGGAAAGCCTGCATAATGTTGATGGTGATGGAAATTTCTGTGACTCAGAATTTCATCTGCGGCCACCTTCAGATCCTGAGACTGTATACAAAGGTCAGCAAGACCAGATAGATCAGGTAAGGTTGGGTTGTTTCCCTCATTTGGTCTAAAGTGCATTTTCTTAAGTAAGGCATGGTGGTATACACCTGTAGTCTCAGCTGCTTGGGAGGCTGAGTGAGGAGAACTACTTGAACTCACAAGGAGCTAGCCTCAGCAACATAGCAAGAGCTAGCATCAACAAGAATAAAGCAAATGAATTCCTTTATAAGTGTCAATTTGTTTTTTGTTTGTTTTTCCCTTTTTTTTTTTTTTTTTTTTTTGGTCTTTTTGAGACAGGGTCTCCCTGTAGCCCCAGCTGGCATGGAACTCACTATGTAGACCAGGCTGGCCTTGAACTCAACAGAGATCCACCTGCCTCTGCCTCCTGAGTGCCGGGATTAAAGGCGTGCGCTACCACGCCCAGCTTGTTTTTGTTTTGCCCTTTTTAAGACAGGGTCTTCCTTTAGTCCCAGCTGACCTAGAATTCAATATGTAGACCAGGCTGGCCTCTATCTCACAGAGATCCACCTGTCTGTGCCTCCTGAGTGCTAGAATTAAAGGTGTGCACCACTAGGCCTGGCTCAAGTGTCAATTGGTTTATTTAAAACTTTTGATTCATTCATTTACCTGTGAGCTTTCCCTGACACTTTTGGGGGTTGGGGAAACAGCTCAGTTGATAAAGTGCCAGCTGCATGTGCATGAAGACCTGAGTTTGGTCCCCAGCACCATGTGAAAAGCTGGATGTGGTAGAGTGGTCTTGTACTCTCAGTGCTGAGGAGGCAGAAACAGGAAGATCCCTGGGACTCATTGGGGGTCAGTCATGAGGACCTGAGTTCAGATTTCTAGCACCCATGTAAAAGCTATGCATGGCTATGTATGCCTATAAACAGCATTAGGGGTGGAGACAGTCAGCTCCTGAGAGCTCACTGGCCACCCAGCTTAGCTTAAACAACGAACTTCCAGTTCAGTGAGAGATCCTATCTCAAGGCAATAATTCAGAGAGCAGTAGAGGAAGACACCAACGTGTATACACATATTCTCATGTCTGTAACAGAGAGAGAGAGAAAGGTAGACAGTGTTCCTGAGGATGACACCTGAGGCTGTCCTCTGGCCTCTACTCTCACACAGACAAACGTGCGTGTACACACACAAATAACGCTCCCATTTTTTAAAACATGTATTGCCAGGCATAGTGGCACATACCTTTAATCTTAACATTTGGAAAGCTGAGGCAGGAAGATTGCTGACAGTTTAAAATCGGCTATAGACTAAGGCCTGTCTCAAAAACAAACAAAACATGACTTTCTGTAGTAGCACACATCTGTAATCCTAGCACTTGAGATGCTAAGACAGGAAGGTCTGGCTGGGTGTTAGCAAGGCTATCCTATACTACAAACCAAGTTTGAGGCCAGCCAGGTCTACATAGCAAGACACTCTTAATGAATAAATAAAGGAACAAATAAAGTAAAAGGAAAATCGCCTTTTGAGTTAGATGTGGTTGTGCATACCCGTAATCCTCAGGAAGCCCAGCATAGCCTCTGGCACTTAGTGAGACCTGGCCTCAAAACAGAACAAAACAAATATCTTGGAAGAAAATTGAGTCAGAGGGTGGGAGACGTGTTTGGAATTAATGTAGAAAATCCTAGGTGGTTGTTATTATTAGCAGTTATATCCATTATATGATTTAAAGTTTCATACAGTTTTGTCTTGTATGAATTTTCCATAGGCATGTATTTCTTTTGTAAAGAGGGAACTTTCCCAGTAGCTTTCTTTAAATGTCTTATTTACTGCTTCTAGAAAAGATTTCGAATGAATTCTAAAAATATTTAGAATGACCTCATCAATGAAGTACTCTAGTTCCTAGAGGAAATGCTTAGACACAGATTCTGTTATTCTATTTAAGCTCTTGTATTTAAAATCCATTCTCAGAGCTGGGCATGGTGGCGCATGCCTTTAATTCTAACACTTGGGAGGCAGAGGCCGGCAGATCTCTATGAGTTCATGGCCAGCCTGGTCTACATAGTGAGTTCCATGCCAGCTGGGGCTACAGGGAGACCCTGTCTCAAAAAAAAAAAAAAAGTCCATTCTCAGAGCTTACTGCTGTTGTATTTGTGTTCACACTGGAGAGTTCTGGAGTAAAATCTCAGAGCTGAAGATGGCTGTGGTTTGGTTCCTTAGGACTACCTTATGGCACTTTCTCTACAACAAGAACAACAGAGCCAAGAGATCAATTGGGAACAGATCCCAGAAGGAATCAGTGATCTGGAGCTTGCAAAGAAACTGCAGGAGGAAGAGGACAGACGGGCCTCTCAGTACTACCAGGAGCAGGAGCAGGCTGCTGTGGTTGCTACCACCGCCTCCACACAGGCCCAGGTAAGACCCGGCACCCACGCCTCACTTTAGCAATGAAGGAATTTTTGTTTGAGGTGAGTTGTAAAGAACGAAGTGGCTATTCTGCACCCATGGATTTTTGTTAACATTGTCCTAAGTTTTCTGCTATCCTAACGTATTTCTGATTGAGTAATTTTCCCAGGGGTTCTGCTAAGTGTTCAAACTTTTTCTAAGCTCTTTAGAGCTGCAAACAATAAGCCAATTTGAACAAAGTGCTTACTGTGAGCGAGCGGCAGTCTGACATTTTGCTAGAAAGAATGCAACTTTTGGAGAAGAGAAATTCCCGCTGATTTGCCTTCCTGCTGCAACATCTGTTCACAGTCCTCTGCCTCTCATGACTGCTTTTCCCTGTCTACAAAATTTAAGAGAACACTTCATGTTGAGGTTCTGGTAAGGAGCAATGCTGGCATTTAATTCAGTTTCCAGCATATATTCAGCATGGTTAGCTCTTTTCTGTTTCTCTTTGCATCAGTTCTTATTTTAAGCAGTGGACTATGGATGTCATGCACTTGAATTTCTACATGTTAACGTGCATTTCATTAGCTAAAAAAGTATCTTCCCTGTTTTCTGCTAACCTGTACCAGACCAGAACTTTTCCAAAGGTTTGGGTATACAAGAGAGCAAGATGTCTTTTAAAGTCTGATGAAAGCAAATACAGAATCCTCCAGTAAAGGTCTGGGGAGATGGTTCAGTAAGCAAGAGACTTGGTGTTCAAACATGAAGACCTGAGTTCAAATCCCCAGCACCCAAAAAAGCCAGGTGTGGCCATTTGCCTCTAACCCTAATGCTGTGGCGGGCAGAGACAGGAGGATCATTGGGTTTGCTGGCCACCAGCCTAGCTCCAGATTTCAGAGAGCTACCCTGTCTCAAAGGAATAAGAAGAAAGTGATAGACATCCAGTGCACTCCTATGCCTTGTGTGTGCCATACACACATGCACACACACACACACACACACACACACACACACACACAATTCTCCATTAAGTATAAACTTTATTTCTAAATCAAATATTAACTACTTCAAGTTTAATATTTAAACCCTACCATGGTACAGTTAGCCTTTCATTTCATGCAAGAAGTTCTCTAATTTCAGGTTACATTTATTTTGACATTCTGAATTCTCAGGATTCTTGTTTGTTTGTTTTTATTAAGTCTTTTAAGATGTTTACTATGGCATTTAACCAAGTCTTGAAGAACTATTATAGTTTACCAGAAGTTGTCACTTTCTTAACATTTTAAAACTTTTTTTTTTTTTTTTTTTGGTCTTTTTGAGACAGGGTCTCCCTGTAGTCCCAGCTGACCTGAACACATAATATAGACCAGGCTGGCCTTGAACTCACAGATCGCCTGCCCAAAGGCATGCACCACCACACCTGGCTTAACATTTTAAAACTTTAACATAAATATTTCTTAAATTAGAAGCTTACATGTGATTTGTAATTATAAATTTCATGTATTTGGAATAATGAGTACATTAATTAGTTACATCTATCCAAATGGTGTAGGCAGCTTCTCAGGTATCCTGTGTATTAATTACTTCTCATATCTGAGGGAAGCAAATTAGAGAAAAAATGACTTGGTTTTTCTGTTTTTTGGGTTTTTCTGGCTGCTGCCCCAAAGACTTGTTTTAATTCATGGGTGGCAGGTCCAGTTGGTGGGGGAGGCAAGGCATAGGCCCAGCTCAGTTGGTGGAGGTGGGAGTTTGTAACACATCCTTCCCCTCAGGAAGCAGGAGGAGGCAGACTGGTATGCCCAGTCTTATCCCTCAGGGCCTCCTCTAGTGGCCTACATGGGCCACCTAGGCCCTGCTTCCCAAGATTCCACCACCTTCCAGTGAGCGCTGCCAGCCTGGAACCAGGTTTCCTTCACAGGCAACACCTTGCCTGTCTCCAGGAACTTCTGTTTCGCTTAAGGTGCCTTTCTCTCCTGTGGCATTCTCTAGCTAGCTCTGAGTCATTTCTTGCCATGTGTGTTTCCTGTGCAGCAGGGCCAGCCAGCACAAGCCTCTCCATCAAGTGGAAGACAGCCTGGGAATAGCGAACGGAAACGCAAGGAACCTCGGGAAAAAGAAAAAGAAAAGGAAAAAAATAGTTGTGTCATTTTGTAGGAAGTTGGAGTCTGTGGGAGCCACCTATCCATACAACCCTGGAAAGGAGGGAAACCCGATCAATACCGTCTGTGCCTGATTTCCCAATGGACTTTGTTCATGTTTTTCAAGGGAAAGGTTGTTACTTTGTTACAATCAGACATTTTTCAAGTTACCCAGTGCTCTTTATGAGCTGGAGTTTCATGTTACAAATTGGAACTGCTGTGTGTCTCCTTTCATGGGAAATACTGCACTTGTAGCCAAATAAGTAAATCACAGCACATCTTGTGTCACAGGGACATACGCAGCTCCTGTCAGGTAGCGAGCTGTATCTTCTGTTCTAGCCAGAATAGGGGTCAGAAAGAAGTCACTGACGGAGTCCTTCCTTCTACAGATGTAATTATTAGCACAACAGTTTCTGAGACTTTTACATTGTTAAATTATGTTCTAATCCACAAGAAACCAGGGGTTTAATATAGGGATTCAAAAAGCAAGGCAGAGAAAAGAGGGAAAAAAAGCAGGAATAAATAATCCTTCATTGTATATTGGACTAGGTTTAGCCCTTGAACAGCTTTACCTTTCTTTAGTAATGTACATTTAGGTATTATGCTGAGAACTGATAATGGAGCTTGGATCCAATTTAGATAGAAAACAAAGTAAAGATTTTTATTTTCCAATAGCAAAAACAAAAAACAAAAAAACCTAACACTAATACTTACAACCTATCCAGATCTGATACTGACTTTGTAGTGATGTGAAATTTTGAGGAATTTTGAAATCTTTAGGTAACCTGGATGGTAGTTACTATTTATTAACAGTGTAATGAGTTTGAGGAGGAAACACAGTCCGCGATCAGCCTTGTACATAGGACAGAGAAGAGCAGATAGTTCACTGTCTACCTTTTTCTAGAATTACCTTGAACCTTAAATTTTAAATCATGTTTATTGCTAGGAAATTAGGTATACCTAATTTAAATAACTATAGTTATTTAAACCAATAAAAAGCACATGTTTGAAGGAGAGCTAATCTGTGAGTCTAGTGAAAAGACATAAGAATCTGAGTGCAAATACCAGTCTGAAGGAATTTGTGTCAAAGCAATCCAATTTTTTAACTTATGAGAACCAAATAACCCCAAAACATCTTAAAGCATTTATAGGATTCAGAAAGAATATTTATTTAACTTTATTATGAGGCAACACATATTTTCCTGTATTTCTAGATATAGTTTAGAAAACTATCCTTAACAATCCTTTTTATATGCTTTGTATTTAAAGATTGTTTTAGTCATTTTTGAACAGGCTATTGCTGCTGCAGGTGGTTGTGATTTGTTCTAAGCCTCAGTAAATCTGTTTATTTATCACAAACTGAGCATCCAGTTGGAGAATATTTCTTATGATCTGGAGGTGACAAAAGACTACGGGAAAAATGTGGTCTAGATTTTTAAAAAGCTATTGTTAACTCTCTCCATGATCCAAAACCAATCATAGGATGAGTCTCTATGTAAAAAGAAAAGTCTTATTTATAGAAAGCATTATTCTAAGTGGAAAAATTCAGGGCCAAGCTGTATCTTTTATAGACTTCTATATTGCGTGTTCATGTTCCATAATTTAGTATTATTCATATTTCCTATGCTAGCAAGATAGATCATCAGAGAATCCTTCTGGGGTATATAAAGCATGCATATGAAGTATTCAGTGATTCAAACTTTGAGTACACATTTGTAAAAAAAATCAGTTCCAGCACTTGGGAGACAGAGGCAGGCAGATCTTTGTGGTCTACATAGTGAGTTCCAGGCCAGCTGGGGCTATAGGGAGACCCTGTCTCAAAATGACAAAAAAAAAAAAAAAATCAGATCCACTGGAGCAGGCTGAGCTCAACTCACAGCTACTTGGAACATCAGTCTGTTGATTGAAGGAGAAAACTCAAACCTCAGGGTTTGTTTTCCCCAGAACAATACATTATATTTTAATTTAGAAAACAGTAAACCTTGAATAATTTTAAAAAGTATACTTGGGGCATATTTTTCCATAATTATATATTAGATCTATTTATTACCCTTGAAAAATCTATGTATAGAAATTATTCTTCTCTTATTATTTTTTACTATCTTCCTAATTTGTTCCAAAGACGATACTGCCATTCTGTATTCATTCCCTCTAGAAGGGGGGAAAAAAAGAAAAAAAGAACCACAGCTCACTGAGAATCAACACTGATGCTGTCAGATAAGTAGATGTCATTGTGTAGTTATAGAAACGAACTGAAAAAAAAATGCAGTGTGTTTGTTAATTCAGTCTTTTTACGTAATAGTTACATGTTAGACTTTAATACATTCCTAGAATTCGGTTTGATATGCCAAGAATAATAAAAAGATATTTTCTTTGATTACTGTGGAGAATATTAAATGTTCAATTCTATTTAAACAAACTCCTCAGATGCTGCTTTCTTGTCCTCAAAAGCTGTCAAGGGCCTAGATAGAGCTGATCAATCTTTATTTTCTTACTTTGCTTACGATAACAGATGATTTTTTTCAGACTCACCATTGTTTGTTTTGGGTGCACAGGACTTTGAAAGTGGTATTTTGAGGCTTGTTTCCCCTCTACAATGCTTTGTCCCACTTGAAATGGTTATATATTGCTAGCAGAAGTTAGAATTTAAACGTCTGGGGGCTTAGCCATTTTTAGGCTAAATTGTAGGCACATTTGACTCATTGTGCCCACTCAACAACCTTAGAGCTAGCAGACCAACAGCAGATAGGGTCCCTGAACTTTCCTCTTGCTTTCAAAGCCAGTCTATTGATAAGCAGACTTTCTTCATGTCTAACCCCATTGCATCAACAATGCTGTGACTCATAGTAGTTTTTTGATACTTAGCACTTCAGTTGTGTTTGTTTCTCTAAACCAAGTTCCCATAACCTCTGTTAGAGTCTCAAAGCAATCTGAAAACTTCATTAAATTTGAGTTGTCATTTTAGGAATATGCACACACATGGGCTGGTAGAGCACTTGTCTAGTACACACAAGGCCCTGGGCTCTTCCTAACACAGACATTTGTACATAGACTACTGAGCAGTAGAATGTGAGTACCAGTGTGTATGGTAAAGGAACTTCTGCATTTCAAGGTCAGGCTAGGATTTGAACAAAGCAGATATTTAAGTTTGGGATTAGGTTCTGGAATATTCCTTGTTTTCACTGTCTCACATATCTTTCATTTGACTGCTTTTCCCATATTGCGCTTTGACTTTTTCCTCCTGCTTTTTTATTCATCTTGGTTAACCTAAGCAGGTTACTATCAGATGTCAGTTGACTGAACCCATTGTCATCCATTTTATAATCATACAAAATCTTAGCATTTTATTTTCAATGAACTCAGTGCAACTGAGTTCAAGGAGACTTTGAAGAGAACTAGAGGGCAAATGTTAGAGAAAAAAGTACTTGTCTCTTAATGTTGGCATATGAAGCAGATGTTTATAAAATCCTGGAGAATTAAGGCAAGAATTCCCAGGACTGTCCTCACTTGCTTAAATTTTCTTAGCTTTTATTTTTAGTTAAGGTCTTGCTATATATCCAGGCTAGCCTGGAATTGACTGTTGTAGACCTGGCTGCCTTCAAATCCAGAATCCTCCTGCCTTAACTGCCTATTGCTGGGATTACAGGCATGTGCCACCATACCAGGTTTATTTAAACTTTCTTTAGAAAAGTAAACAGCAAACTAATTGCATTTTGCTTAGCTTTCTTATAATTGTACCAACTCTTTTTTTTTTTTTTTTAATGACAGCTTACAGATTTGTACCTATCAGTCTTAGGTATACAATTTAAAAAAGAACTAAAAAATTAATGTTTGATAAAATCAGGCAGAAAGATAAAGATAATCTCATTTGTATTTTAAGGGATTGGGCATGTGAAATTCTAGGTCATTTGTGTTTGAACCTGACTTTGGCCTGGCCTGGTGATGCCCATATATCATCCCTGCACTCAGGAGGCTGAAGCAGGAGGATCTTGAGTTCAAGGCCACCTGGGCTATAGTAAGACCTTGTCCCCAGAAATAAACAGTCCTGATTCTTGCCTTGTCTTGGCAGACACTGTGTGCCTCGATTCCCTATGTGCAGGATGCTCCTCTTTCTCTCTCCAAGGCTTTGCACTGCTGAATGAAGGCCATAGTTTGAGCACTGAGAATTACTTAAATTATCACAGATAATATCCTTTGTTCTTGAATGTGCAGGCTTTTTCTAATGACTTAAATCAAATTTTTTATGTTAGCATCATGTCTTCCAAAAAAATATTTTGCAGTTGTTTTTGTTGGTTAGACTGTCATGCCAAAATCAAGAGTATTTGGGGAGTATAAAATGCACCTTAAAAAATCTTTGTTTTCCCAATATCTTTTACAGATCTAAATGCATAGATTCCTCTTGCCATTTCCTCTGCTGAATAAAGTGCTATCAGGACTGACTGTGGTTTCTCAAGCGCTGTCATCATAGGACCATTTTTTGTGATTTTAGTGTGAAATGTAATTTGATCATGTTCAGGACATTACCTTTAGACAGTGAGTGAAAGTGACTGAGGACTTCTCAGACTCTTAGTCCTGGCTCTCTGATATGATTTCAGCATGTCTTGTTGCTGATGCCCAACACACAACTGTTAGGAGACGATTATGGGGAGCTGAATTAATTTTTCTCAGTTAACAATTTAAAATAACTCTTAAAATTAATAGCTTCCTGAACAGAATAGATTGCAAAATAGAGAAGGTAAAACAGGAGGGAAAATTTCAGGATGCTGGTAAACTTACTTTGAAAACCTATCTAAAACCTAAATTGCATGCCTTTACTTAATCCTGGTATTTCTGTTGTTAGGAAATAGAATTTTTGCAAATTGTTATATACGTATATTTTTTTACATGTAAGGTTCTAGTTTCTAACTTCTCTCTTCTGATTTTGAAAAAATTAAACTCGACAAACAGGGTAAAAAAAATTTCAACTCTTGCCTCGAATTCAATGTTCTCTTGCCCTGAGAAAGGCAAGTTAGACTTGTCTGATCAGCTGATATTTTTTGGTCTTCCAGGTAAGGAACTGCAATACCTTGGCAGAGATAGAAAACCCAAGCTTTGAACTATAGTAGATTAAAAACCAAAAGAGATGTGTTATTTCCACAGTGAGGCTTTCTAGTTTATCCATATGAATCGTAAAGAGTAACTCAGATCACTTGGTAATTTGTCACTGGTCACTTTTAAAATGTTATATACCCCTGCACTGGAACATCTTGCTTTGAGAGGCAAGACAGCCCTGTGCTTAGAGGATGCACAACACAGAAAGAACACTGTGGAAGGCAATCGGACTCCCTTGGTTCCAGTAGTCCTTTTATAGCTTTATGTGGAAAGATGGGAAGCTGAAATGCCCAGTTAAACTTAGAAACTGGCAGCGTGGCCATTGGCACGGTAATGGAAAAGCAGCTGTAGTTAATGCCAGGTGTTTAAGACTGAGATTGGTGTTTAATCTTTGAAGATTATGTCACAATGTTTATTGCTGTTCTTTTCCCACATACTAGTCTGTATATGAAACAGCCATTGTTACAGTGTACATAGTATCTCTTTGCTTTTTTTTTTTTTTAAATGAAGCTTTGAGAAACCTCCAGTGGTTTGTTAAGACTATTGTCCTCAGTAAAATGACAGCTCTTGTCACAGAGCCACATACCACAAGTAGAACTTCTGTGTGACTGATAACAGCATGGGGAACCTCCCAGGTGCCCCAAAAGCTGATGCTAGCACAAGCTAGCTGGGTTAAAATGTGTATTTGGGAGACTAGCCACTGAAATGGAATAATGACTGCAGAGAAACTGTCATTGTCTACTAGAATAAGAAACGAAATCTTTTCTCCATGTTAGAGTCAGACTGTCATGTCATGTGACCTCTAGGCCAGGCTGCCAACCTAAATGGAGTTCTAGAAAGTTCAAACCCAGAGATTGTGTCTGAGTGCCTATTTCTCTCCTTTCCCTGCTTGTCTTGATATTTTTTCTACTTCTAATAATTCACTCCGACTTTATGAGCAGCTTTAATTGCAAATAAAGAATAGAAAGCAACTATAGTAATGAGTGCAGAAATACGGTGTTTGAAAAGACACCTAACAGCATTACCCATCGCAAGTCTGAACTGATTTTTGTGAAATAAATTCACTATTTTAAATGCTAATTATGCTAAAAACAACTCAAAAAAATATGTCTTAAACAAATTTCAAAAGTTTTACTTTTGGAAGCTATTCCTAAAAAGACAGTGAAATAGGTGGAAAAGTATAAAATATTTCTGACAGTGATTCAGTATTATTCAGTGTTTAATTTCACATGTTGTACCACAAGTATAGTGTCATTGTTGGATTAAATGTTGGATGTTTTTGTTAATATGCTTAAAACTGTAACCAGTGAATAACATCGTAGTATTTTTTATTATAGATTATATTTTATTTCAATAAACTTTGATATTTAGAACAAGTGGTCTCCGTCTCTGTATGTCAATTCATTTCACTAAGCTGCTGCTTGCACAGCTAGGGCAAGTGGGAAGTTGTCATGTTGATCCAGTTACCCAAGACTAATTCTTAGAATACTTAAACCAGCCAGTCTGGTACTACACACATTTAATCCCAGCACTCAGGAGACAGAGGCAGGTAGATCTCTGTGAGATTGAAGCCAGTCAGGGATGTATAGTAGACCCTGTCTCCCCCAAAAAGAATACTTAGACCAACGATTGATATAAGTAGCAGTTAAATAACTCTAAACCAGAGGGAGACCCTGTCTCAAAAAATCCAAAAATAAATCAAACAAAAACAAAAAAATTAACTCTAACCCTTACAGTTGTTAACTATTTGACTCCAGTGCCAAGAGTTGTTACACCTCCCACTGCTGTCTTTCTAGAGTCAGGAGGAGCTGAAAATGATTCATTTTCTGTGTGTGCACATGTATGGTGTGTGTGTGTGTGTCTCCTTTGAGGTGGAGAATGGTCATCAGTCTTAATAACCTTCAGTTTGTTTAAGATGGAGGCTGTACCTGACAGAACTGGACTTCCAGTACTAGGCAGCTACAAAGTCCTTTAAAGAAAATTCTAGGACTAAGCACTGAAGCTTCACCTCATGAGTGCCCTCCTCTTGCATGCTCAGTTGAAGTAGATGGAGATGGGGTACTGAAATTTCCCATTCCATGGTTAACACCTGAAAAGCTGTGAAGACTAACTGTGATTCTGATTTAGCAAAAGAATAGTTTCATTCAAATTAAAGAACTAATTCTTTTTAGAGGTGGTTATTCTAACAGATTTTTAAAGAAATTTTTTGTGTATGCCTATGTGTCTCTGTGTGTGTATGTGCAAGTGCCCACAGAGGCCAAAAGAGGGCATCAGGTCCCCTAGAGCTGGAAGTTAGGTACAAGGAAGTTGTGAGCAACCCAGTGTAGTGTTGGGAATTGAACTTGGGTGGGTCCTCTGCAAGAGCAGCAGGTACTCTTAACCACTGAGCCGTGTCTCCTGTCCTCTGCTAACAGATTTAAAAGCCAAATCCAGCTATGCATCATTGGTATTTATCACTTTTTTTTTAAAGACAAGGTCTCTCACTATGTAGCCCTGACTAGCCTTGAATTAACAGAGATGCTCCTGCTTCTGTGTGAGTGCTGGAATTAAAGGTGTGTGAAGGTGTGTGCCACCATGCCTGGCCTGCTTTTTAGCTTTATTCAATTTTCAATAAGTATTTCAGTCAACAAAATTTAATTTTTCTATGCCTAATATGTTCTGAGACTTCTTGTCTTATGGCTTTTCTTATATTTCTGAAACTTTTCATCTATATTTCTAATACCAATTAAAATTCTAAAACCGTGCCAGACGTAGTGGCACACACCTTTAGTCCCAGCACTAGGGAGGCAGAGGCAGGTAGATCTCTTGTGAGTTCAAAGCCAGCCTGGTCTACATAGTGAGTTCCAGGCCAGCTGGGCTACAGAGAGACTGTCTATTAAAACCTATGATCACTAAGCTTCTCTGAGATGTGTTGTGATTTTAGTTCCCACATTTAGGACAATGGGGCACTTCAAGTTAATTTTTACGTATAGCTCATATAAGAGATTGACCTCTTACTCGTGGATCAACTCTTTGCTAAAAAGCTTACCCTTTTCCCTTCAGTTATATGGGTACCTTTGTCAAAAGCTAACTTACATGTGAAGGTTTTTTAAAGTTGGTACTCTATTAGATTAGCTAGTCATCTTTTGTTGTTGTTGTTGTTTTCTTTTTTTAGTCTTCTTGCGACTGGGTCTCCCTGTAGCTACAGCTGACCCGGAACTACGTAGACCAGGCTGACCTTGATCTCACAGAGATTTGCCTGCCTCTGCCTCCCACCTGCCTCTGCCTCCCATCTGTTTTTGCTGGAGGCTGATTTAAGGCATGCACTACCACACCTGGCTCTATTCATCTTTTGCCATACCAAAACACCTTGATTGCTGCTGCATAGTTAAGTCTAGAATTCAGGTTGTAGGAATAATTGAATTTCTTATATTCCAACTTTGACTATTATAGGTCATATATAGCATTTTGCATAATTTTAAATATAATTGCATTCGTTTGCGTTTCTGGCATTTCTGAACTCTGACCCCAGCTGTGGTCAAACAGGCCTGCAGTTCCAGCACTCAGGAGGCAGAGGCAGGAGGGTCTATAAGGTCTGAGGTCAGCCTTAGCTACACAAGACCCTGTCTCAAAAAACAAAAGCCTCAGAGAATCATAGATACCCAGAATTTAAAGCCACAAACATTAAGACTAAACCAGGCCCCAAGCCACAAACCAGGCCCCAGGAGACATCACATTCCTTCTGAACTCCAGGCATTATGACAGCAGCAGGGTTCATTTCTCAAATGCAGAGTGCAACACCTAAAGGCATTTAATAGAATTCTCTCTTGTAGTCCCAAAGCAGCCAGGTTAATGGGACATCAGGGTCTCTTCACCTACTTGTCCAGTTCCCCAGGAGTTCTTGCCCAGGCTTTAAACTCTTAAATTTAATGTTTCTTGGACAGCTCATATCAAGTTTGCAACACCCTTTCCTGTATTTAAAGAAGGCTATGTCAGGGCTGAAGAGATAGCTCAGTCATTAAGAGCACCGGCTGCTCTTGCAGAGGACCTGGGTTCAAGTCCCAGCACCCAGCTAACAACCAACAGTCCCTAACTCCAGTTCCAGGGGTTCAATAATAAAAAAAAAAAAAAGGCTATGTCTCAGCTCCATGTCTAAAAAAATTTTATTTTTATTTTATGTGTATGCGTGTATTGAATGTATGTAAGTGCACCCGTGTTGTGCAATGCCCAAGGAGGACAGAAGAAGCTGTTGGATCCCCTGGAACTGGAGTTACGGACAGTTGTTAGCTGCCATGTGGGTGCTGGGATTCGAACCCAGGTCTTCTGCAAGAAAAACCAATGTTCTTAACCGCTGAGCCCTCTAGCCCCTCAGCTCCATGTCTTAATGCTCCCCATCTTTGCAATTTTTCAATTTTATTTCTAATATTTCATATATTATTTTCATTGTATGTGTATAAGTGTATTGCCTGCACGTGTTAAGTGCACCTGTGTCATGGTGCCTGTGGAGGTCAGGTGTCAGATTCCCCTGGAACTGGAGTTACAGAAGGTGGTAACTGCCATGTTGGTGCTAGGAATCAAACCTGGGTCCTCTGTAAGGAGCCGGCGCTCTTACCCACTAAGCCATCTCTCCAGCCCCAAATTTTTCCATTTTAACCTCATTTAGGAGCAGGATACAGATACAGGTATGTGCTGGAACCCTTGAACTTCAGACTGGCCTAGGGTCAGATGCCTACCCATGTGTTATATGACCTATTCAATCTTGCATTCCCATGACTCCAAAAACCTTTCCTCCATGTTCAGGTTTTAGAGGTTAGACAATTAATCCAAGCTCTCCCCAGGTTTTTCTCAAGGAAATGAAAACTGATTGTCCAGGACCATTCTCAAAGACAGTATGGCTAATCAAGAAGGGAGAAAGAGGGCCCTGGGGGGATGGCTCAGTAGGTAAAGTGCCTGAGTTCATATATCTGGCACTTACTGAAAACAGATGACGGCATGCACCCATGACCTCAGCACCCGGCAGGGGCAGCAACAAGACAGGAGGATCCTAGGAACTTACTGGCCGGCCAGCCTAGTCAAAACAGCCCCAGATTCAGTGAGAGACCTTGTCTCCAAAAAACAAGGTGGAGGGGCTAGAGAGATGGCTCCAAGGTTAAGAACACTGGGTGCTCTTGCAGAGGATCTGCATTTAGTTCACAGAACCCACATGGTGGCTTACAACTGTAACTCCAGTTCCAGGGGATCTGATGCCCTCTTCTGGTCTCCATGGACATTGTATGACATGGGTGCACTTAACATATATGCAGGCAAAACATAAAACATATATTTTAATTTTTAAAAGGTGAAGAGGGATAGAAGATACTTGACAGGGACCTCTAGTCTATGTGCACATATGCACACACACACAGTACACACTCATATGCACATACACAGGGAGACAAACCCCACTTAGTAGTTGAAAAGCATGTTCTGAGATGATAAATCAGTGCCATATCCTGTAGCGACAAGGCACAGAGCCCCCTCCTTGGTAACAATGTACCACAGAGGAGATCCACAGCAGGCATTCCTGGGCCATGCGGCTGCAACAGCCTCCTCAGCTGACGGTCTCATTACTGTCTGTCTAGATGCTCTCACTGTGAACGGTGGAGGCACAAGTTCTCAAATGAAGTCATCATTTCAACCAAATGGGGCACTTGCTAAGGCTTGTGGGTTATGATGTGGCTGAGCCATGGCTTACAGTTCAGAGGCAGCCCGCTGCCAAACCCCCCCACAAAACAAAATACATAATAACTGGCTAATCTGGAGGGCTGCCTGTAGGTTAATGCTGAAGGTAGCCACAAATATTGAAGACTTCAGCCATGGGTAGTTTCATTGTCAGAAACCTAAAACCCTGTTAATAGCATGCTATTTAAAACCTATTTGCAGCAGAAATCCACTCATTGCTTATCTAGGCAAAACCTTGGGCTGTCAGAGGCTTGTCAATTCTCTTATCCTCAGTTGGGTTTTCACTGCGCCAGCTGGTTATGATCGTATCTCAGGTGTCTATGCCACATTAGCTGTCAATGCATAAAGCCTTTTTTAAAAAACAAAAAACAAAACGGTTTCCCTGTAGCCCAGCTGGCCTGGAACTCACTATGTAAACCAGGCTGGCCTCGAACTCACAGAGATCCGCCTGCCTCTGCCTCTCGAGTGCTGGGATTAAAGGCGTGTGCCACCACGCCCAGCTCACAAAGCCTATTAACTTTCAGTTTGCAAGTCACTCCCTAGGGTCAATTCTGCCTTCAAAGTTGGTTTTGTTCACTACAGCTCAGTCTTGTTCACACAGCCACAAAACTGACCCACATCAACGTGAAGGGCTGAACACGTTTGCTACACCATTTCCAGCTTGCAGATGGCATTT